TCTGTGATTTCCCCTTAACACTAAAGAACATATTTATTAATGGTCTATGAATTCTAAGTTCCAAGTCAGTACAAAGTCCCAAATCTCTGAAAATCTATTGCATGCTCTATATTCCACCTTAATATTTTGTGATTTAGGTTATCAAGACTATATATTGAGTTCCTTTTACTTCAGTATAAGTGTATGTATGTTTATATGACTCCTTATTGTATAAAAATGTAAAAAGCAATAGATAATACATATTAATCTTAATGTAAAAAGCAATAGATAATACATATTAATCTATTGCTTTCTGTATTGTATTTATGTTTCCACAAGTGCATTCTACCAGAACAATATTTTGGACATACCAAAAAATTGTAAGCACAGACATAATGTAAAATTGTTACAAGTAGCACAGAAGAGCACAAATGGTGCCGTTTTGTCATCTATAACCCAATATGTCAGATTTAATCCTGTTCTATTGCTACTTAGCATGGAAGAATGATACCTGCTTACCTTTGGATAAATAATCTGGTGATTCTTGTGCTTCATTCTATATCTGTATTTTATACTAATCATTTTATATGAATGTTTTGGAGATTTGGAATTAATGTTCTGTGTTTTCCTTATTTCTTATGAAAAAATTTGTTTTGATGTATGACTTTAAATTATAGATTCTGAGCACATTTCCATGGTCAATTATGGTCACTTACCAAGGTGCCACTGTACTTCCTTTTTCTTCAGTGAAGCAGATCCATGATACCTTGATTTTGTTAAATGTATATATACTCGCAAGAGTTTTCTGTACTAACTTGTTTTTTTTTTACACTTATGTCTCCATTATTTACGTTTTTTTGATTGAAGCAAATACAATAACTTGGGACATGGTACCAAAAAGAGAGGATAATGTATATTTTGTGCATTCTTTTGTTGATGCTTTGCATTTTATACTTTTCACTCTGGAAACTTTCCAGCAACTTAGCCACTTTTTGGTACATTGAGCCTGTTTATTAAATAATCATTTTAAAGGGATAAAAATATGAGTAAATTTGATAGAAATAGTCATTCCCACAAAGGGTATATGTGTAGTAGAGGCATCAAAAATAGCGAAATTTTGGTAAAGCTCCGTGTGCATGCGTACCACATGTGAGTAGCAAGGTCTTGGTAGACAGTTGATGTATTCAGGTGGTACTTGTTGTATTTTATTTTATTTTGCCAAGCTAGTGGTGGTGTGATTTATGGAAGTTTTATGAGTGAGCAGATTGTATACAAATGGAATTTACTGTTAAGCTGTGTAGGAAGAATATAGGATTCAGAAACAGGCGATATTTATATGGTTGATGTAATTGTTAATGAAAAGTCAAGATTTATTCTAGCATCTGTATATATTCATTTCACTGTTAATTCAGGAGATTTAAAGATGTCCTTGTTTAGTGCATTGATGAAATATCCTGTGACTACTATATTGATTGCTAAAGAGTTTGTGAAACACCTGCAGCTCTTTAAATTAAAAGAGAGTGCCTGCCGTCATTTTTTGTTTGTTTTAGAGGTCTTTATCATGCAATATTATGCTCAGTATTATGATTATTATTAAATCTACCATACTCTTATGTTATATGTCTTGAATATTATATTATGTTTTCATTATATTCTTTGTATGTTATTGTATTCATTTCTGTATTCAAATACTATTAAGTTCAGCATATATGCTGTTTATGAGTGCATAGCTGCCAACTCTCTTGGTTTTCCATCTCATATCCCGGTAGATGACCAAATCCACCAGTTTTTTTTTAGTTTTAGACATTACAGAGTAAATTTTTTTCAGGGCTAAATACAATTTATTGGAATTATGGAACTTAAATTGTCCAATTTTGTTCCTCAAAGCTCAAATATAGTTTTTTTTTTTAGCTTTTCTTCAGCGTAATTTTTTGTATTGAATTTGATTTGATCCAAATGGTCTTTATCTACTGCAGAAAATTGTAGAACTTATAAGGTATTTTTTCTGCCTCCTTAGCATGCCTTTGTAGTAGTGTAGTGGTCAGCACTCTCGATGCGTATTCGAGAGGTGAGTGGTTTCAGTCCCAATGAGGGCATTGCTAATTTTTCATCTCTCTTGCTTCCAAAAAATCCTAATAACTCTAGAAACTTTATATAAAAATTCAAACATTGTTTAAGCAGTTAATTTAATTTATTCTTTTAACAGTAATATTTGGTACATTACTAAATTTATTCATGCAATACTTAAAAAAGTACTTTGATAAATTTAAGCTTTCCTACTAAAGTTTCTCTCAGTATAATAGTGTAAGAAAATTGTGAAATCAAATAACTCAAGGAACACAAAAAGGTTGATATCTAGTTTAATAGTAATATATTTTTCATCAAAATTATATTACAAATCATTGAATAATCTATATCATGCATTATAAAGCAAATTTAAGTATATTTGAAATGGTGTCATTACACTGTGGAAAAACCTACCATTAACCCCCAGTTTTTGGCATGAAAAACCTCCCAGTTTTCAGTATTCTAACATTAGCAATTATGTGAGCATGTATTCTGCTACAAAATGAATTTGGTTAGGTTGCTATGACATATATGATTCTATTGACTTTTGTATACTTTGCTTGTAAAAGTTAAGCTGGTTACTGAATTCTCTAGAATTTTCTATAACAAAAGGATTGTTCAGTGTTAGAAATTTGACAACCTGTGGTATATAGTAAAATCTATATCTTGTGTAGAATTGCATCACTATGTCCCCCCTCAATATTGTATATTAGGCCTACTGTCAAGGCAAAATTTAAATATAAAATTTGTTTTTATGCATGTATGTTGTGTCATTTTGTTTTGTTAAGAAATATTGAGTTTGAGAATCTTTAGGATTTCAAGATTTTTAAGCTTTTGGATAAACGTACTTGAAACTTTTAAAAATTTTACTGAGGCTACTAAAAGTTGGAATTTGTGTGTTTTGCCCAAAATTGTTCAACATTTTTGTAACATTGACTCGTAAATTTATGTACATTTTCAGAGAATTAAAACTGGTTTTTGACTATTGCTGAAGCATATTATGGACTCGTTTTCTTTACTTCCGAACGAAAGCTATTAAGGTTTTTGAAATACTGTGGTTAAATTATAACTTTCAAAATAATTTTTGTGTAATTAATATCTTGTGCTGCAAATAGTGCACAAGTATTCTCATAGTATTCTCATAATATTCTCATAATATTCTCATAGTATTCTTATAATATAAGGTTGCATATATAGTGGAACCTCAAGATATGAGGTTAATTCATTTCAGCATTGAACTCGTATAGAAAATTTCTCGTATCTAGATACTAACTTCCCCATTGAAAATAACGGAAATCCAGTTAATCCATGCCACACCCCAAAAAATATCAACATAAAAATTAATTTTATAATAAATAAAACTTTCAAAATAATATCACTTGTTTACCTTTATGATAGCTTCTGATACCGACCTTAACTGTTTCTCATTAATCCACACCAACAACAGCTACTAGGAGTTTTGCACGGTGCTTGGAAGTAGCAGTAACTCCTTTGCCTACATCAAGTTTCTTAATTTCTTCCTTCTTCTTCAGAATAGTGCAGATCATTTATGTCGAAAGCCCGTAAGTCTTTGCCAATTCTATCACTATTATGTTTATCTATAATATCCTCCATACTTTCAACAGACATGGCTTCCTTATTTTTCTTTGCAGCATTATCAGAGGCAACAATCTTCTTAGGAAGCATCGTGAAATAATTATTTTTACATTAAATGTAATAAACAATTAACTCACAAGCACACAAACACATAGATCAACAAACACTGAGTGATCTGACGAGAGGATTTCCCGAGTCGAGCTGGATCAGGAAATGGTACTACGCATACCGATGGGCCTGGCTCATTGCTCAAGTCAATGCTCGTATTTAGAGACAAATTTTTAGCTCATACTTTACTTGTATCTCGAATTTCTCGTATATAGGAGTGCTCATATCTCGAGGTTCCACTGTAATATTAAATCGGAAAAATTATAATTTTTGGTAAAATAGTAGCTTTATCAAAAATGACCTAGATTTATTTTATGTAGTACATTGTTACAATGTTTTTTCTTCAACTTCTTTCCAGGAATGAAGCAGACAATTGCAGAGAAATTTTGAGTGAGACTATAAATGAATTCTGTATATTAAAAAAATTAATAAATATGTGGCTTAGTCATTTGAACAACACTTAATTTTATTTTAAAAAAATCGTCATTTTTATTAGGTTAATTAAAATATAATTGGAAAAAATTGGAAACAAATAAAAGGTACAGAATTCCTGAAAACAGAAAAATACAACCACTATAAGGTAGACTGTTAATATACATTTTTAATGCAGAAAGACTGCGATATAATACATGCATTTTCGTTACAGTATTGAATATGCTAATTCTCTTACAAGGAAATCTTGAATGTACAAACAAAAAATTATGTAATATTATACATAAAGGAAAAATATTTTTAAATGCATAACCAACAATTATCTGCCATTGTTCTTTGTAACTTTTATGAGCTAAGATTTTGCAAAATTTTCTTTTATGCAGGATATATAAATTAAAATGTAATTAAAAAAACTGTGATGTAATAAACTGTAGAAAGTGATTTTAAAGTTAAGATTTTTCTTTTTCTCTTTAAAATACTTGTAGTTTTAAGGAGGTTAAATTTTGTTCAACAATGAATGTTGTTGTTACCCTCTAAATTTTTGTATTAAAAATTGTAATATCATATACTTTAAGGTATTTCATAAAAATAACTAATGAAATGCTATTTATGCTTTTTCTTATAGATTAATGAAAAAGTGTTTGATTTTAATTTTTTAAATTGTCATTTTTACCTGTGAAAGGTAACTGTTTAATTTAGAGAACTTACATAGACATACTGTCTTTCTAAGCATTTGTATTTAGTTATATCAGATAATAATTTGCATTTTTTTTTATTAAAGCAGATAAAATAATTCTTTTTTTTTTTTTTTTTTTCAGAGTGATAGTTTGTTATCCAAGAATTATGATCTGATATTGGCATCATTGGCAGTATTAGGTGGTGTTGACAGAAGATTGCATTTAGGTGGTGTAGTTATGAATGAGAAAGGGGAATTATGCACAGTTGAAAAAATTTCTCCTACTGGTAAAATCCACTTGCATTGCCACAAAACAAAAAATTCAACAAAGCATCTTTTAAATCAAATCAAACTGGTAAGTTCCTTTGTTGTCCTGTTTCATGCTTCAAGTGGAATTTATGATATTTATTTTCATGTGTATATATATATATATATATATATTACAGTACAAAGTCCGAAACCCGGACGTCCATTATCCAGAATGATCTAAAATCCGGACCTCAAAGCCAGAAACATTTTTTTTTTATTAATGCTTTACACCTGCACATTTGATTTTCCCTTCCATAATAAAACATGTGGAGATTTTCACTTAAAAATTCCGATTCTTAATTTCACTTAGACACTAAATAAAATACCTCATCATGTAAAACAATCATGTATGCATTAATTTGTGAGATTAATAATTTGACTCCGTAGCCGAGTATCTGTGTGGCATACATCTCAAACTGAAACATTCACCTATTTTATATCCCTGACACTGACCTGGCAAGTCATTATTTATTATATTTTGCTTTCATCACCATATGTTTATCAGTACATGACAGCTTCAGTAATAACTCATGCTGTGACAACTTTTTTTTATATTAGTAATTGAATAACAAGAGTATTAATTCAGAAGTCAAACAACAAAAATCAGCGTTATATTCACAAAATTTTCACAGGACTAGTTTCGATGTTTTACCGAACCATCATCTTCAGCTGCAAAACCGCAAATGAACAAGATAGGAAATAATGAACAAGAGTATGGCAACCTTTTATGCTAACATTATGCGTGGCAATGATTATAGATTTTTAAATGCTCTAAGAAATATTGACGAGGAAAAATTCAACAAAAATTTCTTTTCTTGTGCTAAAAATAGATTTTGTTAATGAACTCATAGGCCAAAGGATTACATTTAGTGCTATTTTAATTAAGAAATACTGATATGTTATTCACTATAAACCCAGAAGCTGCAGCAGAGTATGTCGGCACCGGACAGCAGAATTTAGGGAAGACGAAATTTTTGGAATATGGGGAAGCACCGAGGGGCAAAATAAAGGGATGAGAAGTTTTTTATGATTTAGGGAAAGCACTGGACTGTGCCATGCGGTATTTAGCGCCGACCCTAGATAAAGCGTTAAGTATATGTGGGAGTTTATTTATTCAGGACTCGGATTATTTCTAAGCATGTGCAAGAAATAAATGTAGGTATAGTAAATAACTAAACTACAATTCAGGCTTAATTCAGTATGCAATAGGAGCAAGCCAAAATTTAGCAAAACAACTTGGCTTACGTCGCCAATCTTGTGATACACAGCCAATAATATATAATTAATCGTCTGTAATAAGTATAACAAACGGTATTAAGCTAGGCTAAAATTATCTTTACTGATTCCGAGTCATTTCAATTAATGTAGCAGACTGTGCTGCTCCCTGATCTTCTAATTTGACCCAGTTTATTATTTTTAGCAGACTGTTATTATTATGGCAATTTTATAAAAATTAAGCTTGAACTTTCGATTATGTCGAAAAGAGTTTCTAATTCTGGAGCTGCGAAAGGATCTACAAAGCGAAACCATGTTTCAATGTCCATTATACAAAAAGTTGAATTGCTGCAAAAAAATTATAAAGGCATATCCGTCTCAAAATTATGCGAGGAGTATGGCATTAGAAAGTCGACTGTATATGACATAAGAAAAAGTAACTTTTTGAATTTTTTTTTTTGGAAGCAACTTAAACAACTTACATTAAAAGAAATGTTTAATAATAATGTAAACAAATAAATATTAAGCTTTTTTTTTTTTTTTTTTTTTTTTTTTTGTAAATTTTGGTACCCTTTAGATCATAATTGTTCTTTATTTCATAAATTACGATTTCATATTTTTAATTGTATAATGTCTGCATGCCATCTTACCAGATTTAAATTGATGATCTATTATTATCTGGAAAAATCCCAAATCTGGAAGCCGAAGTCCTGACCAGTCCAGATTTCGGATTTCGTACTGTACAGGTTTTTGCTGTCAATTAGAAAAATTAATTTGCAGTTTGTATATGCACATTATATGTCTACTGGGCTGAGAAAAGCATTTTAAATTGACAATTGATATGCATGCTGATATTAATACAGTGTTTTCTATCAAGTCTTTTATTTTTGCTTCTGAGCTTGTATTAATTATCAATCTGTTAACTTCCTTTTGTAGTTAAATTATTAAGTTTGTTTGACGTTCTAAATATATTTCAAAATTTAAAGAAATGAAAAAAAATAATAAACTCTCTTTCCAAAATGATAAAATAAATAACAAAATTAAATTCTATAAAAATCTGTTATATCAATCAATGGACAACCCTAAATTCAAATTCTTTTTAATTTATTTACGTATAGCAAATTCTGTAGCTTTAGGCTAGGTTTCAGAATATGTTTCGAATTCTGATTTATGTTAACTTACTTTTGTAGTTAAATTAATCACTCGTAAAATGGTTGTAAAAGACAAACATTTATTTAAAGATAAATCTTAATAACCTACACGAACGTATTCGTAAACGTACATAACATAACAAACGTACTTACTGCATCGTACCATTAACATTTCAAGCGTACATCATCTCAATGTTTTTTTTTTTTTTTTTAATTATAAATAGAACGACATCCAGAAATTAGCTGTTGCCCATTTTGTCTAATAATCTGTCTTCATTTTGTCCATTTTCTCCAATAACAATTAAATAATTTACAATCGTGCTTACATTCGACCATCCTTACTTTTCAATTGTCCTCAATTGAACCAAATCTTGTCATACATTAAAATGACAAATAAACAACAACAAAAATATAATAATAGGTAGGAAAAAAATAAAATATAATTTTTAAAAAAAATTCTATAAGTCCTATATCAAGTCTGTATAACGCAATAGTTTGCACACTGTTCGCTTGGGCCTTTTAAGTTCATCATTGTCTTCATCATCGTTGTCGTCATTGTCATCATCATTATTTGCTTCTGCATTTTTCCAAGATTTTAGTTGACTTATATGAGCAGTTGATGCATAAAAGCGACCATTGCAGGCTTCTTCTAGTTGTGATATTCTATAAGTGTCGCCCGGAAGTACTTCTGTCACAACCATTGGACCACGTTACTAGGTTGAGTTTGGGTTGGTTCTCCTGGTGTAGATATTTGAATTTCTTTTAACTACTACTACTATTTCTCCTTGCTCAAATGATAGAGATTCCGATTTCTTCCTGTCATAATAAGTTTTCATTTTTCCTTGTTCTCTAACAATCTTTTCTCTAGCTTCTTTTTGTAGTTTTTCTGGTTCCTTCCAATTTTCTGCTTCTTCATCAGCAAGTAATCTCAAAACTTCATCTTGAAATCGTGGTACATATCCATGAAGTATTTCAAATCGTGTTTACCCAATAGTTTTATTGATTGTGTTATTCAAGTTTCTCTAAACTTCTTCAATTCTTTTGTCCCAATCCTTTTGATCTTTACTTTTCATTGATGTTACTATCATTGATAAAATTGTTCTGTTCGATCTCTCAACCATACCATTCCCTTGTGGGTGGGTGGTTGAATTTAATGTATGAAGAATTCCCTTTTCCTTGCAAAAATTTTGAAATTCCTTTGTAGTAAAACAAGAACCTCGATCTGATATTATACAATCTGGTAATCCAAATTCTTCTATGAAACTCATCAATGATTTCAGTATATTCTTTGAAGATGTGTTTTTCACAGCATACAATCGAATGAATCTCGTCATATTATCAATGACGACTAACAATTCCTTGTTTCTTTTAGAACTTGTGATGAAAGGTCCAAGATGATCAATGTGTATTGTTGCAAAAGGTCTGCGGCCTGGGGGTATTAGGATGCAGAAAACACTGTCTTTTTCCACTGGGAACTTTGTTGATGAGGCATTCGAAACATTTATATATGTCGATGAACATATATCTTCATAGCAGGAAACCAGTACAGTTCTTTGATTTTCGAGACAGTCCTATCAACAGCAAAATGTCCCATAAGGTCATGAAACTTCACAGCTATGCTTTTTCTCATGCTTTTAGGTATGACGTATAATAACTTCTTCTTTTCCCCATCCTCCACATTACGGAACAGTCTATTCCTTTTCAAAATATAACTCTCCACATTTTGATTTTCTTCTTTGGTTCTTTCACTTGAGTCTTTCTTCAGAATTGTTATTAATTCTCTTAACTTTTCATCTGCATGCTGTATCATAAGAATTTGTTCGTCTAAATTTAAGGTCAGACAAACTTCTAAATTATCTTCTATCAAAGAATGCATGGTGTCTGATGAATTAATAAGAGGAGCTCTACTGATTGCATCGATATGAGACATTTTAATTCCTGGTTTGTGGCATATTTCAAAATTATATTCTTGAATAAGGATCAACGAGCAATTTGGGGATTGCTAGATTTCTTTGCATTCATGTAAACTAATGCTTGACAGTCGGTAACTACCATAAATTCAATTCCGAGTAAGAATTGTTGAAGTCTATCTAGAGTCCAGACAATCGCCATTAGCTCAAGTTTACTCGAGTGATAATTCTTTTCAGCTTCTGTTGTCTTTTTGCTCACGCAGTAGACGAGATGCCATTTGCCGTCACTTCTGAGTTGAAGTAACATGCCAGCAATACCCTCTGAGCATGCATCAGTATGGACTTCTGTTTGAGCTTTAGGGTTGTACAAAGCTAAAATTGGTTGATTCGTCAGTTCATTTTTCAGCATTGTAAAAGAATTCCGCTGACTTTCTTCCCATCTGAATGTTTGATTTTTCCTAGTTAGTTGAGTCAATGGTCCAGCTTTAATGGCATAATTTGGAATAAACCTTCTAAAAAAACTTGTTAAACCAAGAAATCGTCGAACTTCATGAAGGTTTTTAGGTTCTGGGAATTTTGATATTACTTGTTTTCAACTTTTCTTGATCCCGGCTTTATTCCGTTTTTATTGATTATAAAGCCTAAATATTCTCTATTTCTTGTTTTTCAAATTCACATTTCGGTAACTTCAGGGTTAGCTTAGCTGCACGTTGTGCTTCGAATACTTTAATTAATTTCTGAATCTGAAATTTTCTTCCCAAGTCCTTGCT